AGTAGCACGGAGTCTGGAATTGTGCCCGGTATATGGCAATAGGCTCACCCCCTATTACATGGGACTCATAACATAAATAGTGAAAAGTGGGTGTTTCATATCTCGCAGAAAATATGAATAACAAAATATTAAAACGATACGAAAAGACTCTCTAAAAACAGTGTTTTTTTTTTATTTTACCTATTGCAACTTTCTTCTCTTATTGTATAAGAGTGCTGATCCCAACAACATCATATTAATCTGACAGGATTTTTGCTTTCATAAGTCTATTCATAAAAAAAAATACTAGTTTTATTTTATACAACTTACAGTAAAGAGTTTTTATTGAATTAAATACAATCTTTAGTAATCGCAACTAAGAATATCAAGCAGCTATGTGAAGACCAATGCGATCTTGAGTATTTAAATGTCGTATTCTAAATAATTAAATGTTTTTGCCTTATGTTTAAATAAAATATAATTCTAATCACTCTGGGTAAAATTGGACTAAAATGGTGTAACTTTATTCTATGGTGCAAACTAGATACGCTTAGGCATTTTAATATTTTTATAATGGGATAAGCCCGCCACAACCTCCCAAAACCGCTGCAACTCCTGTAAGCACCGTAACACTGAAGTCTGACTAGTCACAGGAACATGAATAACTCTAACTCTAAGAAATAAATCAGAAGATATTATAAGATGAGAAAACAAACATAGTTTCCACTCCCCTCGGTGAATTACTGCAGGAGAGGCATTTTGCTATAGCATTTATGGCTAGTTCGAATAAAGAATAAAATCAATGAAAAGTTTTTATATTGTTCAATGTTTCACTGCTAAGTCCAATTTTACCCAGAACTATAACAATTTTAAACATAATAAAACATACTAATTATTATTTTTAAGGTGCATGCAGACGAGCTGTCTGAAAATCTAAAATCGCAAGACACAGTGATTTTTGTTCCGAATGACACAGTAGGTAAACATGTATAACTTTTGACGGTTGAGTCAAAGAAAACTAGCCTTTATTAACACCTATATGTTTTCCATTAGTAAGTAAACTGTGTTGTGCCTATATTTATTTTTATTTGTGCTTAAAAAAATCACGCCTTTGTCTGTAGTCATATGGGAGCAAAAATATACACAATTTTATGTTTTTCATTATTACTATTAGCATGGGCCAAGTTTTGTTTCACTTATCGCCATATCGATACGTAAGGTTTGTTTTCCGGTACTAAAAGAACTCTCTGCTAGCTAAATGGTGCTCAATAACTTATGTATAAGGTTTATTTTGCTATGTACTACATCTCTATTGATGATGAATTTTCGCGGGAAAACAATCCTTAAGATTTCATGTGTTTTACATACATGCTTAAACTCACTCCTTTGTCCTATGAGGGTAAGAAAAAACAAATCGTCATCTGGTACTTCTGGATCCCTTTTTAGCTTCCATGCAGGGTACTCCACACCTCAGCTTTATTTGTTTATGTTGTCACAAAATTTCCATTCATAAATGCTGTGTGCGTTCAAATTAACATTAAATTAGTGCAATTATTCTTATGCTTTATGTATATATTTAATTATGGTTAAGTTACTATTATATATTTTAATTAATGTGTGATCTTAAGAACCTAGAGAGATATTGTTTAATATTCTTATATTTATGTACCAAATATAAATTGTTAGATTCATCAGGATCTACAAAGTGATCGTATAGTTCTAAGCCGTATAATTTGTTCCAGTCGATTGTAAATAATGTGTTATTAAATAAAACCCATTCTGTGTATCTATATCGTTTTGTTCTTATACTGTAGCCCATTATTCGAATGTCCTTTAAGCGAGGTTTGTCTGAGTTCTTCTGAGGGTATACACTTGGTCTTGGATATTGGCTAAGGGCAAAGTTGTTGCTGTAATCTCTATAATCTTGCATCATAAAGGGTTTTAAACTCTTTCCCTCAAAACATAAAGTAGATTTATCTTTGACATTACATTTTGGTATGTTATGCGGCAAACCGCTCATATCGACTAAAGTAGGGAAAAGGTCAATCAACTCGACCGGTGTGTGTATGATCTTAGAAGATATTCCTGGAGCAGAAAATATTAGTGGTACTTTCAAGGCTACATCAAAGTTGCTGTATTTTGCCCATAGACCATTCTCGCCTAAGGACCACCCTGTAACCAAATAAATAAATTAATTATGTAGTAAAAGATAAAATATGTATAGTAACTACAGAAACCAGCGTCCTCAAGCTAAACCAATTTTCTTCTGTAAACATTTTCAACTTTAATCCAATCATTTAAGTTTAAAATCTATTGACAAGCAACATAATTTTTTTACTGAATTATCAACCTCATTACAAAAATATAAAGTTCAAAATCTATTGACATTAGTATAGTTCAACATGGTAGTATCTGCACGAATATTTTAATGATAGATAAGATATTGAGTACTGACCATGATCACTTGTTAGAACCACGATAGTATTCCGTCTATCGATATAACTGATCAATTCTCCAATTAAATCGTCAACATATGCCGCAGCTGCGTAGTAACTTTGCCTGATTTTTATTGACCAATCAAGTGGCATTATTCCCAATGGAAATGATATATTTAGACGGGCGATGTCATCTCTACGCCTGACGTCAGTCCAGGGGTGCCATGATACTAAGGGTATGTCAGCCGACATACAAGGGTGTCTTTGAGGTTTTACTTTGTTTATTGGTATTCTTTCTGTAAAATAATAATTATTTGTCACCATTGAAAATATATCTATTTATCTTGTAAGAATAATAAAGAAAAATACAGGAGCCAGCAACAGCTGCAGCCAATAAAGATTAAAAAAAATACTACCTACTTTATTATAGTGCTGGACCAGTCTAATAAGTATTTTTATAATATTGATATATTATTAAAGATTTGCCAAGCGAAAATAAACCTTACACCAACATTTATATAGTTCAAAATAAATTTGTAAGTTCTTACCAAGGTACTCTTCTGGAAACTTAATTGGTATGTGAGGTTTATAAAACCCAACAGCTAGTAGAAATGGTCGTGTACTGTTCCTGGTTGTAAGAATATTGACAGCATGTTCCAAAGACTGCAAGTCTGGTAAAGTTCCTTCTGGTTGATCATCAACATTTACTGGACATATGAGGTTTTTGTGAAGTTTTCCAGTTTCTTTATCTTTGCAAACGGCAGCATCTTTATATTTCTCGGTAGGAGGATGGTAAGGATATTCAGACCAGCTATAGGGATAATCATCGGTGAAGTTTGAGCTTATTCCTGGATGAAACACTTTTCCTATAGAAAAAGTGTCATAGCCGTTCTCTTTGAAGAATTGGGGGAGAGTGGTAAAGTTGCCTACTGTGTCACGCCAGTAACTGTAGAAATCATACAAACGTAATGAGTCTGGTCGACGGCCAGTCAACATGGAGTTTCTACTTGGAGCGCAGAGAGCTTGCTGAAAAACAATTAGTTAATATCCGCTACCAAAAAACACGTTGAAACTACTTTCAATAGCAAACACATCAGTCACTGATGTTTCTAAATGTACTTACCTGCGCAAATGCGTTTTTGAAATTTGCCCCCTCACCAGCCAGTCTTTTCAAATTCGGTAAGTTGATAGTTTCATCCGAAAGATGGCGCAAGTCATCGACAACAATAAATAAAATGTTGGGATTTCTTTTGTCCTGATATGACTGACAGAGTGTTAAAAATGTTAGAGTAATTATTAATAAAGAAAGTTGTGAACTCGTCATGATTGTAATGAAACTCAAAGTAACTAAAACACTGTTAAATTAAGAAAATATGAAATGAAACGTTAAAAGTATGTTTAATGGTACAATTGGGGGTTTTCTTAGTACTTTGTATAAACATGACAATATTTAAAATATCTGAATTTGAATTGGGTAATCAATCATTTTGTTATCATTTTTTTATATCATCATATTTTAATGTTTAAATCATTGAATTCTGCAGGTAAAGGAATGTAAACTGTTTTTATTATTTTGTTTGACCAAAGATTAAGCAGGCAGGCAGAAATAAACCTTTTTTTTGTGAAGGTATAAAAATATTGTACGTGTACTTGTATAATATATTTTTGTATCTAAGTTACTTTTTATAATACTAAAAACATAATAAAAAAATATGTGTGTGTAATAAATAGAGAAAACATAAAGTAGTGAAGTAGAATTTGGGCGTAAAATAGAATTTCTATTGTCAAGTCTATCGCTAAGTGGTAAGTGGATTCTAATAAGTAGTTGCTACGTCGCATCTGTGTTATATCGTTGTCTATGACTCTGAGTATTCCACACAGTGATACAATGTGTATGTGTGTATTGCTGTATTCATGTACACAAATGAATCGAATGCTTTGTCGTATGACACACACACACATCTACAAACGAACAAGTGGGCGTTAGGGTATTGTCATTCAAATCATCTGTTCCGTAAATTGTTGTATATTTTGTACATAAAATCTAATTTATTTTTGATTATTTATTTAATGAGAGTGTTATTATAAAATAATTGATTGAGTGCGCGAGTGAGTTATGTTTGTTTAGAGTTTTGTTTTTATTCTCGTGTGACGTCATTGTTTTCGACTGCCAGTACGACGCAATAGCATTTTACTCGAAAATGGATTTAAAATGAGAATTGTTTTCGTAAACAAGGTGAGTGTGTTATGTAAGACGCATATTATGCTCATATTACGCATTTAATAAAGTTAGATTAGTTCAAAACGTAGGGTGAATACACTTCATCGATTTCCTTTGTCCTCGGTCCCCTTTTATGTTTGAAGTATATAGCTACCTACTCAGTGTTAGAGTAGATCTACCAGCTGTTTCGAAACAACATAAACATTTTGGTGTTGATAATCTACGATTGTATACAGTATTGATTTACAAAGTTGTGTGAAATTGTTTGTTTTGCCTTATGTAATCTGTGTTAGTATTTTTTTAATCGATAATTCGATCGTACTGTTTTTAAGTTTTGTTGTCTACTACCTTTTTGATTTTATTTTTTTGTGAAAGACAAATGAAGGTGCCTGTATTTTTATGCACTACATACCTTTTTACGACTCATTTGTTAAAAATCGTTCTAATTAGACCTCCTACCTTCCTTAATTATATTTAGTTCCCTAGTGTTAATGAAGACGATTAGTAGCTCCTACAAATAGAAATTAATTTAATTCAATCGGAGTGTTCCCTAGCAATAAATTATTCCTATTTAGTTTCTAAATACATTGACAATCAATTGTGACATAAAAAATGAGAAGGACAAGGAATTAAAGAGTAAAAATTTGTAGTATTAAGTTACCTACATTTTTAACTTAACAAGACACATTATTAGAACAAAACGGCCAAGGTTACATTACATTCAGCATCTTACTAAGGTAAGTTTGTATTTAAATATTTTCCTTGTCTATTGCATCAACTTCTCTAGTATTGCATCCTTACATTGCAATAGTTATTAAGGCAAAAATCAGCCAGTATTAAATTTTCTTTTGTAACAGTAGCTACTTGGATGATTTTTATCAAAATACTACCTATCTATTTCTATTATTTTCTTAGTTCATATATATTTATCAGTGTCTTATCTCATTTGTTATTGTGTTGTTAAATTCTTTTGTAAGAAATAGATACTTGATCTGTAAAATAGATTTATGTGGGGTATTTTTATCATATATGTGGTATCTGATAGGTGAATCACTGTTTGTATGTGGAAGAAAACCAATGTGAGTCCTAAGTAGTGGTAATTAGAACTTAGAACATATTTTAAAACTATGTCTATTTGATCTATGAGGGTAGGTCAAGAGTCTTACTAGGATAATTTCAAGTGACTATTTCTAAGCTTTTCTAAACTCACACACTGCAGTTTGAAGGAATTACTCTTTTACCTAGTCTATAGTACTGAAACATTCATCTTCATGAATTATTCTATTCTTTAATGAAAACCGTACAAAAATTATATTAGTAATTTTTTAGTAAGTAGGTACCTTACAAACAGACAGAAGATTCTAGGTTGTTCTATATATTATAGTATGTAATGGTAGCAAGGAGTAATAGTGTTTTATTCCACCAGGCGACGCTCATTCAGCATGTCAGCGGAGTCGCCAAGACATGTGCGGTCAGGAGGGCCACTGACCGTGCCCTCCCAGCCACCAAGTGACCGCAGCATCATCGATGCCGTCTCCGGCTTCATCAACGACGTGACACTTTCCTCTTCATCATCAGTAGACCCTAAAGATGTTATACAGTGGGCAAGGTAAGGACTCCTATATATTCTAAAGATTTAATTCCAATACGATTTTTTTATATTTGTGTAGGTAGGTAGAAGTACAATAAACTACCTTGAGTTCTATTTAATTAATCCTTTAATCTTATTTGACTTTGGAATCAATAATTTGAACAGCTTAACCCATAAATCCCTAAGCGGTCACCGGTGACCGCTTTCCACTAATATTACATTACATTATAGACCTTATTTGTAATGTTTAGAGACTACTTTTGTATGACCAAATTTAGGGGATGGATTTCAACGGGTTAACTGGTGATCAGCATAACTTGTCTTTATTCAGCTGTGAACCTGATTGGTCCCGTTTTGGTACATTTTCCTTTAAAAAAAAGAGGAATAGTCTTCATATTCCTTAACTAATTCCTATAGATAAACTATAAAAAATAAGGGTTTATTTTTTTATAAAAAGTCTAAAATGTTATTTCTAAGCAGAGTTTTTATGAAAATACCCGCTAAACTTGTCTTAAATATTGTAATCAATGTACTTATTACTTAAAATTGCATTATGTAGTAAAATATTGTGACATTTGAGTGTGATTCAGAAGTATGTAATCCAACATAGTTTTTTTAAACAAAGAAATGAAGATAACAAATTTTAAACAAAAGTAAATATTAATAATTCATTTTGAACTCCCAGTGCTCTTTGTATAGGCTTGTATAGGCTATTGATTGCATTAATTTGTCTAGGGAATGCAAGCAGATGGATGCTATTTCAATTCCTTATGTATTTGTATAATAATAAATACCTTACCTTACATAATTATGATTTGCTAAATTGCATGTAAAATGATGATGAACCATGAACCATGTCATTGTCAAGGTCATAGTATTATTATCATTTAAATTGATAATAGAATTGATCAATGAGTTACTTATAGATTCATACTATTACTAACTGGCAATTTTTAAGGCATTTGCAATACTAATACAAACTTTTTTTTAAAGTGAATCAAATTAAACTTTTTTTTACACAGGTTTGAAACAGCAGATATAAACGAGCCAACACCTGAAGGCGACAGTGACAATGATGAGTCTCCGTTGCTCCTAATCCTGGGCTACGGAGCTGGTGTCCAAGTCTGGCTGATACCCCCTACTGGGGAGGCCCAGGAGGTGTTGTCATGGCGACAAGGCACAGTGAGGGTGCTCCGTATACTGCCTACTCCGCAGCACGGCGACTGCTTCGCGTCGAAGAGGCCCCTTATTGCCTTGTGTGATTCTGCCAGCCCCGGTCCATCTTTTTGCTCACTCAGTTTCATTTCCATCAGAGGTGGTGAACAGGTGAGTTTAAATAATTTCATTTATTTGATCATTTTGGTTGTACAAAGAATTGTACGATGTGGTTATTGGACGCCCAATCTCTCCCCTCTAAAGGCCAGCTTTTTTTTTTATACCACGACGGTGGCAAAAAAGCACACGGCCCACCTGATGGTAAGCGGTTACCGTGGCCTATGTACGCCTGCAACACTTGAGGTAATACATGCGTCATGCCACCTATGCTCTTATAACTCCACCACTCCAACTCCGTACGTCCATACTTCCGTATACGGGGCTGACACGTATCATCAATTTAATTGCACAAAAATCAAATTCTTGTTTTGAATGAGGCTGTATTGTGTACGCCAAATATGTGTTTATGAACGCACAAGATAAGGCCCTGTTGTAAGACAACATTGGTAAAAAACTAAAATAACAAACTTTACCTAGCATTTAGACTTAAAGTAAATGTATTCCTACATGGCTCACTGCTATTCCTGTTTAATATTCAGTAAGAATAATAATAGAAAAGATAAGTTCTGTTGACCCAGCTTACACGTGTGTGCTTCGTATCATGTATGTACTATGTAGATTGTAGACATAATAACCATTTACTCAGTTCCATGCGGGAAACAGATTACTCGTTATACTTTCGGCCATTAAACTGGATATTGTTTTTATCGAATTGTAAACAAAATGGTCTTTATTATGTGACGTTTTGAAGGCGTGGCTTAAGTCTACTTGCTTAATATTATGTAGTAATTTCTGTGGGTGTGGGTGTAGTCTTTGGCATATAAGAAAATAGCTTTTCATCCTTAAGGAGGTAGGCAGAAGTGCACATTTCCACTCTATAAACCACTTTTCACCAATATCTCGGTTTCGATTCCCAGGTCAGGCAATGTATTAGCGCAGTCTGGAATAATAATTGTGCTCGGTATATGGCAATAGGCTCACCCCTATTACATGGGACTCATAACATAAATTGTGAAAAGTGAGTGTTACATTGTACAGTGGCATTAAGTGCCGTTATGTGCACCTCTGCCTACCCCTTCAGGGATAAAAGGCGTGTTATGTATGTTATGAACCACTTTTCACCAGTTATGTTATTAGTCCCATATAATATTTCTAATCCGGACACATTACCAGACTATAGGGTGTTACGGAAAATTTCTCAAATAGGAAAATCTGAGACCCCTTTCTCGAAGGCACTGGGACAACGAGGCATCCCTCTAAAAACAAGAAACTTTCAGCTGTAATAAGAAAACGCCCTTTGGTACATCAAACTGTGCGCCAATGACCCTTTTCCTTTCTCACACGACAGGTAAAAAGCATCAAATTCAAGAACCCCATTCTCGATGTGTTGGCGAACAAGCGATCAGTGGTGGTGTCGTTTTCCGAACGTTTTGCGATATTCGACGCTGCGACTCTAGAAGACCGAATGGCCGTCACTACTTGTTACCCCTGCCCATGTCCTTTGGGCGGCAGCTTGCCAATCAACCCGTTGGCGCTTGGAGACCGCTGGTTAGCATATGCTGATAAGAAACTTAACCAGTCCAAGAGGAGCAGTGGGGGGTGTGAAGGTAAGATTTCGCAAACAGAATATACTTTTTGTTTTACACCAGGGGGAAATCTAAAGCTCTCTGGGCAAAATATCTAGACTCTTTTTTTGAGGGGGAAATCATCCAATTACTTCTCCCGCTTGGGTGAGGCGGGAGGGAGTGTCAGTCTGTTGCTACAAACCAACCCGTTCCTACTTCTGCACTTCGAACCGGAGCCCCCGGTATCCCGTTAAGCCCTTCGCTCCGTAAAATATCTATACTAGACATTGTGAGATTCTGTAACTCTCCTAATCCGCCATTAGGCTGATGATGATGAAAAAGTCTGCTTCCAGCTTAATACTACTTAAACTATAAACCCCATATTGCATTATTCTTCACAGTATCCTAGCTAATTATAACGAAGCAAGTTATTGTAGACGAAATAAAAATAACTCATCGACTTTATCAAACAACTTTTACAAGAACGATTCATGATGTTCACTTGTTATTATATACTCAAGTAAAAGGCACAGAAGGTTCACAAACAAGACGTGTCATATCAAATACTACTTACGTGTTATACATTATGAAATATCTATAGTACCTAAGTTTTGTTTGAAGCTAATCTAGACTTGTACTAAAGTCCTTGAGGCTGGAAGACGAAGATGTATGTATGTCCTATTTCTTTACCAGTTTAAAATTCAATCCAACAAATTAACTAATCAAGTAGTGAAATTATAACAGTAGTATGTAGTACAGAATTCTGTACTACATACTACTGTTATAATTATTAATTACAGACAAATTGGTCGAACACTTAATTAGTATAGTAGATCGAAAATACTACGATGTATTGAGTTCAATGACACACACGTATCGTAATGATAACATTGAATGATTAAAACATACGACTTTTAGTGAGACCGTATGTAAAGAGCGTGAGACAGGGATCACGAACATTCGGATGTTTACACAAAATCGCACGTCTTTGTCAGTTTGGGGTAGGTGGAAATTATAGAGCACCATCAACCCCAGTAGTGGTACCTTATGGTATCTACGGAACTGAGGCTAAGCCCCCTTACACACTAGCGGGTGACAGCCTAGGTGGTTCATATTGTCTGAAACGGTTATCATAGCTATTGTATCGCGGCTGCATCTTAAACCAGAAAAGCGGCCAAACCGCCGGTACTGCGTATGGGGCCTAAAAAGTACATACAAATCTAATTAGTACGTACTTTCTTAATTACTATCACATTAATCCATACGATCGTATTAGTAAGCTTACTATCTTGGTGCAGAGTAGGTACTCTTAATGAGCTCATTAAGAGTACCTACTCTGCACCAAGATTCTCTTCAATGAGTTTTACACGTGTTGTGTAAATCATAAATAAGGCCCGCCTACCAACAAGCTGTTGTCACGAATATTATTGGCAGCAATTACTCTAAACACTTCCATTGTATAATTATTATGTATGTATGACTCAAAATGATTCCATGACGACAATGCTTATTATTACCTGTGCTCTGCCAAATGTTTGCCAATTATGAATTCTACATTCTCCCGTATTTATCCCGATTTCCGTTTGTCGGGTGGCGTGACTTTCGTTTACGACACATTACAATTTTTCAAAATCATAAATATCCTTTTCACTAGTAGATAGACAGGGCTGCCTCGTTGGCCGAGTGGTCGCAAATGGGACTGCCTGGCAAGGGGTCTCGGGTTCGATTCACGGGTCGGGCAAAGTATAATGGGGTTTTAAAAAAATTCTCAGTAGTCGTACGGAGTCTGGAATTGTGCCCGGTATATGGCAATAGGCTCACCCCCTATTACTCATAACATAAATAGTGAAAAGTGGGTGTTACATTGTACAGTGGTATAATGTGCACCTCTGCGTACCCCTTCGGGGATAAAAGGCGTGATGTTATGTTGTGTTATGGACAGGACAGTGAGTAGTAGTTCATACGCTTCATTGTCGGCGACAGAGGGGTACATAATTAATTAGCACGCTCACATTTATGCGCCGCGGTCAGTCTATTACTGGTTGCAGTCATAACATTTTGAATATTTAAAATGTTTGGATACTTTAATGTCAAATTTATACTGTATACAATACTTTTATGTGATTAAATAACGTTCCATACATAGGCCTTTTTTATCCCCAAGGGGTAGGCAGAGGTGCAGATTACGGCACTTAATGCCACTGTACAATGTAACTCCCAGTTTTTACTATTTTTGTTACGAGTCCCATGTAATAGAGGGTGAGCCTATTGCCATGTACCGGGCACAATGGCAGACTCCGTGCTACTACTGAAAATTTTTGTTTTTAAAATCCCAGTATTACTTTGCGCGATCCGAGAATTGAACCCGAGACCCCTTGCGCGTCAGCAGCACTTGCAACCACTCGGTTAACAAGGCAGTCTTGCTTAATAGATAGTCTAAATTAAATTCTATTTAATTAATGGAAAATGTCTATTATAATATGCCGTTTGATTCGCACTACCACGGTTGTCCTTCTCTCATATGATGAGGGGTCTAATAGTCCAGCTGTGGACCGACAACTGTCAAAGGCTATTGATTTGATGTGCATTACAAATCAGAACTTCGTATCAAATAAATAGTACCGTTTATGTATTTAATAAATCTGCAACAAAAACCTTGAAACAAATATAAATAATGCATTCAAAAAATGATGCAACCGTTAATTCTCACTTAAATAATAAATAAAAAATAGATATGGCATATAATAGGGTAGTTGCCTAAATTTTATTTTAATGTCCGTCTGGTAGATTAGTTTAAAACATTAGACACAATTTTTTTATTTTCGCACAAAATTAAATACTTTCGACGATATACCTAATAATCTAAAATATCGTGTGACGTCACAATACGCTACATTTTGTAGCACTTAGTGACGCAACAATTTCTCACTCCTAAACTTAACTCCAATTTATCTAAATATTGTAACTTTATATGAGAAAATAAAATAATACGTGTCTAATATTTTTTTATTATCTGACGGACTAATTAGATTTTTAATTTTCATTCCCTGGCAACTACCCTATTAATATAAACAAACCCCTTATCTTGTATCATGAAGAAACACGTTAGTTATATCATTAGGGACTTCAATAAAATATTAATTATCTAACTAATTAGGTATGTTCCTAGTTTGCATTTCTATATTAAGACTAGCTTCTGCCCGCGACTTCGTACGCGTAATCACATTTTTTCCCGTCCTCGTTCGTGATTTTCGCTAAAAAGTTAAAAAAAAAGTATTGGTTAAAAAGTATCCTATGTCGGTCTCCTGGCTCTAAGCTACCTCCCTACCAATTTTCAGCCAAATCTATTCTGCCGTTCTAGAGTTATAAGTGGTGTAACTAACACGACTTTCTTTTATATATATAGAAGATAATATAGAAAAGTTGTTATGTAGCATAATATCCTAGTACATAGAGGTGACACTGGTTCAACACATCGATTGTATAGTTTAAGATAACTCAAGATGATAAGTTTTATCTAATTTGACATCAAAACAAATATAAATAAGGTAGCACCTTGAACAGTTTTCATCAACAAAAGAAAATTGTTTTGAATACTCTATCTATTAAATTGTTGTTTAAACTGTCAAACACCAAGCGGTCACCGGTGACCGCAACCTATTGTTCTATAATTGTGTCTACAAAACCGGTACTCGACGAGTTAATA